GGGTTACAATGTCTTCCGTGCATAATCCACCGAAAACTCGCCCGCAGCTTGCATGAAATATTTTGTCGGGCATGAATAAATCGAGGCCGCAGCGTTGCCGCAGTAGCCCCGGTGCAGTTGCTGCAACATTTTCGTATGTCGTCCGCCACCCTGTCCGTGTCCGCGCATATCTGCCCGCACACATAGCTTACCTCTTTTCGACCCACTGTCGCGCGTTCGCACGCGTCGCCATTGGTCTCCCAAGTATACGAGCACGGCCGTGCATGCGCTCGTCTTTTATTGCGGCTGCGGTCCTCGCCCGCGCTATGAAATTTACTCGCACACCGTTGTACCGTCGGCACGACTGGATGTGTGTAACATTTTAGCTGCTACAACTATATCTGCGCGATAAGAGAGTTATGTGCCGAGTAAGGTCCGTCACCCTGTTGATTATTTCTGAAGTCTTAAATAAATACGCGGACCGATATATTCAAGTTATTTCATAGGTCTTAGAAGAGTGCGATTCTACTTTAATCCAATACTCACGTACAATGTCTCGTACGTACTGTAGCTTCTGTTATTTTTCTTGAAAGAATGATGTTTTGTTTTTATTAAATATCAATGCGGAATATCAATGTTTGGAATACTATCGAAAGTAGTACGTTTATGAGGTTGTTCGATGAAAAATAAAACTATCTAATTTTATTTGTAATTCACAAGAAAATAAAAATAGACAAAAAAAATTTTTTTAAGTGGATAATAAATTATCACGAATGAAGAATTCACTTTTCTAATCCAATCGTTTATTGTACCATCTTGATGTTGATTGGCTTTATTAGAAATTATTTGTCGATCGGATAATAGATACTAATCAAAGAAAGGTAAAGGAACCTCTACGAAAATATGGCGATGTAATTATCAAAAAACGATACTTGCGTCATTCGCGAAAAGGATCCAATCTACTGTAATGGCCCCACGTACGGAATGTATACGCTCCCGACGAGGATTTCCTCACCCCGTTATTTACATCGATGAGTATACTCGAGCAGTTCCAATGTCGTTTGCCGTACGTTTTCGCACCGGAGATTGAGTAAACTCCTATTTAGTTGCCCATCTACGTGCGTGATTCACCTCCACTACTCTTCTTTTGCCTAGCTGTTCTTAGAGAACCAATCGCTTTCGCTCGTATCCGAAATCTTGTCGGAACCTTTCTTTTTTATTTCCTACATTTGTTGTTATTATATACATAATAGAATTAAAATATTAAATATTTCAAGATTGAAATACGTACGTTGGAAAAGTTATTCAGTTTTGAAAAAATACATGACGATTAATTATAAAAGTCTAATATCAATAAATTAATAATATCCTTTACGCAGCAAAAAATATTGTAAAGAAATCAATTATTTCTATACATATCAAGATATTGAAGAATGAGAAAATACGTTTTTTTTTACATATTTCATGTTTCATTTCGGCAATTAATTGAACAACGCGAAGAGACGAAAATAAAAAGGAATAGAGAAAATAGAATGTTATGACGTAACTTTGATTAAATTCTTGGATATTTTGCTTCTTTCTTGCGTCATGTTTCATCGATTTTGTCCATCCCGTTGGTTCAGTTTCTTGATTACAATCGTTTGAATAGAGCTTCATTTCATCAGCAAATGGACGCTTTGCAGAGTTCCTTTTTCATTTCTTTCCTGAAATTGTAAATATTGTAAATCGATCATTTATATAATTGAAACAATTAGGTCGCTCTGTGTAACATTTGCATCATAATACGTACGTATACATAATGTTTATGTAAACCATAGTTTTGCATTTAAAACGAACGCATACCTCGAATCGGTCTTAAAATATTCTCATCGGGTCAGACTGACTGACTGTCTGTCACATGTCTTCCATATGTTTTCGCATTTCAGTTTCCTGCGCGCGTGCTCATTATACTAGCTTGTAACATGAGACAAACTCAAGTCCACCTCAATTGGAAAAGAACTTAAATATTATCTTGAAATTTTACACCGAATGAAATACACAGTCACATAATACATAACTTGATACATCCTCTGCTTTGGAGATTATTTAGAGCGGTTTTTGTTACGAAATGGCGACAAAATACGATATCTCGTGTAAGAAACCGAGTTGATTAAATGCATGTTGCATTCTTGCTAGAATTATTCAGATAGGAGAGTCTCTCGAGGATATTAATAGGTAAATTAAATTTGTCGCGGATCGAAAATCCACCGGTATACTACTTAATTAGCCGGCTAGGTCGTCGCACTCGTTGCACACCTCGAAACCCGCATTATGATATCGTAAAGAGGATTCTTTACGCTCGTACACGCAGACGATCGTACTGGTAGTCGCGATATCCGATTTTATGTTTCTACACGCGGACGCTTTGTTCAACTGGTTATACCGTTTTTACACCCCCTATTATGAATGTCCAGTTTGTAGAAAAATTCTAAATGTGATCTGAACATACTGACTATGTATTTATTTTGATGAAATTGATTTCGTTATTAAAATGCAAATACTAATTATTTAGATCTTGAGATATTATCTAAATGAAAGCAGATTTTGCACGTAATATTTTTCGTATTTCTGTGAAGTGAATAATAAATAAATTAATTGGATAAACGAAATGCATAAATTTTAGATGCAATAAAAATATAACGACAAAGTTGAATAATCTGAGGATTATTAAGTCTAGTAATATCTAGTAATGTCTAGCAAGCCGTTTTTATTCCGTCGCCAGAAAGCTTATTACTGCCGCTATCTTACGTTCTAGTTATCGAATGAAAGGGACAAATTTCAAGATTAAGCGCCTCTTAACTTTTCTCATCAGGAACCTAGGTCTCGCTCGCGAAATTTTATTTGTCTCTGCCGTAAGACTAAAGCGTATTACATTGTTGACGTGAAGATTGGCAACGTAAAAGCGCAAAGTCGTCGGATGAACAAAGAAGATCAGAAGAGGGAAAACGTCGCCGTCGAGTTTCCAGAGAAACGTCGGCAGCCACGCTGATGTTAGTGCGCGCATCTCAGCGTGCGCTTGTATGTGCTAGTATTTATATACGAAACCGTGTACCTAGGGATTTAGGTATGGATATATGTACATGTGTATATATATATATATATATCCATGCGTCTATCTCGATGGCGACGTTGCAAGTCTCATTAGACTGAAGTCGCGGGAACGAGCCGAAGAAACTTGGAATGAAGGGATATTCTCAGGGACATGAAAACTTGGAGGTTGTGAAAACGTAGGAATATCCATGAGGCGAAGGGAAAAGGATGTAGGGAGAGCGGCAAATGAGAAGTCAGATAGAATAGAGGGAAGGAAGGAACGTAGCGAAGTGAGAGATTTCTCTTCACGCAGTTTGTGTGTCTCATCTTCTTGTGTCGCGAAAAGAGAATATCTGAATAGCGCGATTTCTTATTTAAAAGAAAAATCAAATTTTATACAGTATATTTTTAAGAATATAGCGTAACAGAATGTAGTTTAATTAACATATAACACTGTAAATATGACTTGATATATTTAATATTGATTTAAGAATTGAGAAATTGAATTGAGATTGAAAAATATTAATTAAAGAAAGAAGAGGTAAAAAATTACATCAGAATTTAGTTAACATATTAATTTTACACGCGATGCGCGACACCTGCACACGATAGATGTCTACCGTCTGACAGAAATCGAAATGAGTTTTGGATCACAGGCAGACCTCCCGTCTAGACTCTGATCAACGCGCGGACTGTAAAACCCCGTAGGCACGT